AAGAAAGCGGGTTTTGTTTTTGTTTTTTGGTTTGGTTTGGTTTGGGTTTTAAACACTCAGGTGAGATTAAGCAGGGACAACTGGACTGGAGCGTTTTGGAGGGAGCGCGGGAGGTGACGCCCCCTCACCAGCAGGTGGCGCGTTTTCTTCAGGATTGCGCCCCGACCTCGCCGCCGACGGGCTCCGCCAGACGCCCGAGTCCTCTCGCCGGAAATCGCTATTGCAGATAATAACCCTCCAGTGTCTGGAAATGTTTAATTACCGCGAATGCTCGTTTTTTGCAGCGCCGGCCGCCGCCGCCGAGGTAGCCCTTCGCGAGCGTAGCGCCGCGGGGGTGGTGGGTGCTACCCGCAGGGTTTCCACCCTGACCACGCGGGACTCAGTTACAATGACTTTTCTTCGTCGCCCTCAGTTCGGTTCGACACTGCATCCTTTCCAAGATACTTATTTTCACCTTTGGATAGAGGAAAAGTTCAGTAACCTTAGAACACTGATCTGTTACATGTGCCGAAAATAGTTCTGACAGCTCCGATTTGTGCAAAAAGTAAAAGCTCGTCACGCCTTTTACACCCATGTTACGCTGGCTGCTCACAACATAAGGTTTTATCAGCTCACCTTCCCCACGATCCTGTGCCCGCAGACCACGCAGTTCCACGCGCGCATTCCAGCTCCTTACCCCTTCTCATAAACCAAGGGTGGATGCATTCCCGTGAGCGCGGTTGCATTTGCGAAGGTGCCAAATGGTTACAAGATACTCATGCGCTCCCAAGAACTTAGGACACGGGAACTGCCTGGAAACACAGCTCACTTTCCCTTTCACTTTTGATACTGTAACTTGTCTCTCGCCGTCGCGATAAACACCAGCTCTGGCGTTCACCTGGGATTTACCCTCCTGGAGTTGCTTATGTGTTATCGGGGCGCCTTATCTCCAAAGTGTATGTGGCTGTCACGTTGCCTACCTCCCGTGCTGAAAACCCTGCCCCCGAAGCTGGATTTTGACCTGATTGATCGTAATGGTTCCAGAGGAACTATTGAGCCATTACAATCCATCATGTAAATGATTACAGAGGGATACCTAAATCTCCCGGTTATTTGAAACCTCAGCACAGGCATAAAGGGGGGTCTAATGAGCAGACCCCCAATTGTCCACAATGCAGTTACAGGAGAGCTTGCCCTGGAAGAAAAAACTCGCAAGTGCGAAGTAAATTCCATTTTTTAAAAATGAGATCATTTTTTGTGTGGCTAGAGGTGGGGTTCATTTTTAACCCACAACACCCCAAGGCAATATAGGCCATGTTCTAGTTCATTTTCTGGAAGCTGCTCAGTTTTTCACTCCAAACACAGGCGGGGACACTTTTCCTGCCCAGCGAACAGGAGTCAGGAGAGGGGCTGGGGTTGGGGCGGGGAGACCAGCAGAAACTGTTAGCACCCCAAGTGTGCCCAGGAAAAGGCAGCCGCGAGGGCTCGCTCCTAGACTGGGCGCAGCGTGGTCAATGACCCGGAGGCTCGAACCCGTTCGGTGGTCGCTCCCTGCCGGACCTCACCAGCACTGGGGGGTAGGGGGGCGCGTAACCCCGACCTGGAGGCCCGGTCGCTACTGGGAGGACCCTTGCCCAGGGCTGCTAGGTCCCGGCAGAGTCTGGGACGCCGCGGGCTCCGCGGTTGCGCCCCGCAGGCTGTGAGCCGGAGCCAGGAAGAGCCTGCGGGAGGGGAGGTGCGCGGGTCCGGTCGCTGGCTGCGGGAGCGCGGGCGGCGGAGTGCGCCAGGCGCGCTGGAATGGGACGGGCGTCCAGACCCGTGTTTCGCTGCCTTCGTTGGGTCCTGGCTGTCGAGGACCTTTACCAAATTCGAAACCTGATGTCCTCGCTAGTCCTAAACGCCTAGGACTTCACTAAAAATTACCCTGGTAGCCCTAACGTGTCCTGGGTCCTGCCCTCTTCAATCCATTCAAGCCCAGTCCAGGCACCAGGCTTGGCACGCTGCGCCCTACACCCTCCTGCCTAGGGCCTGATTCATTTCTCTTAACTAGGCGGGGGAGGGTTTCCCCCTGTTGCGGCATAGGGGTTCCCAGCTTCCTGGGCTTCTTTCTACTGCCTCAGGAACCAGAACCTGGTTGGCCTCCAGGGGACACCGAGGCCATGGTGTGGGGGTCACCCTCCTTGGGAGCTTGGATAGCGATGGAGAACACCTCAGCAACTAGCAAAACCTGAATTTCGTTGCCCCCAGGGTTGCTGGGGATGGGCATTGTGGGGCACCTAGGAGGAGCGATGTGAAGCCAGGTGTCCCAAACAGGCTCACCGTGTCCTGTCCTGTCCTGTCGTACACTGCAGACCAGCTCCAGGTGAGGCAGCCAGGACTCCTCTGGGAGGTAAGGCCTGAGGATGCTGGGCCATGAGGGACCAGCCCCAGCCTTGCTTCCCCATCCTGCCCTGAGTCAGGATCAGTCTTCCTGATAACCTGGCAAAAGCCGCATTAAACAACCAGGTCGCGTGGTCCTTTCATTCGATCCCTAAGAACTCTCTACAATNGCCTTGCTTCCCCATCCTGCCCCACGTGGGCTAAGTTCCAGGATTTGCCCTGAGTCAGGATCAGTCTTCCTGATAACCTGGCAAAAGCCGCATTAAACAACCAGGTCGCGTGGTCCTTTCATTCGATCCCTAAGAACTCTCTACAATAGTTCTTCATTGCTTGGAGTTTTCCAGCGGCGGGTCTTTGAGGTATGTTGGCCAGTGGCCCTGGTTGAGAGGGGAAAGGCAAGTGGAAGGCTGGAGGAAGCACAGTTGCCCCCTGAGGAGTTTCCAGCAGGAGGGGGGATCCTACCCCCACACCCATCCCACCTGAATACCCTCTTCCTGGGCATGTCTCCTAACTGTCTGGGCAGCCAGGTGCCCAGTGATCGCAGCCCCCTTCTGCTCTCAAGGGGCTTGGCCCTGGCCCGAAAGTTGCCCCTTACTGGCAGGTCCTAGGACTCCAGCTGCTCACATCTGTGGGTCCCTTGTTCCAGCATTAACCTGTGCAGGGGGGTGAGTGAGACCCTTTTGGTGCTGAGAGTGCCTCCTCCTGTACAAACCAAAGTCACCTGGGGCTGGAGGGCAGGTTCTGTCCTAAAGGCCCGCTGATGAGACAAGGGTCTCCGCCAACGATGTCTTCTGGGGGCGTTTCCACTATCCTCTCCCTAGTCAGGGAGTGAGACCCTAAAAGCGGCAGAGCAGACCTGCAGACTGAAGCTCAGCCCAGTGGCAACTCCTCTCCAGAGGCAGTGCCTACATGCTGCAGACTCACTAATGCCAGGATCCAGCCCCAAGGGCTAGGAAGAGTCACTCAGCAGCAACCTTGAGGCAGGCTCCGGGAGAGCAGTGTGTGAATCTGGACCCCCAACCCGCCCTGGGGAACCAGCACCTTCTCCCAAACCCAGGGCTGGGTGTTCCAGGGCTGGCTGGGTGTTCCAGGGCTGGGGTCACGTGAAGGTCAGCTCCTAGGAGTGGGCAGTCCAGAGGGCAGCAATGGCACTCTCCGCTAAGGCGTAAGCAGTGAGGGCGAATTTCTCGCAGCCAGGACCCTGACCCCTCTTAGATCCCAAACTCCACCTGAGCCAGTTCCTTGGACTCGGACAAACTTTGCCGCTTGTCTAGCGCGCGCCCGCGCGGCTTTCCAAACTCCCATCCATCCATCCTTCCAAAACAAATGAATCCACGATTAGAGGGTGCGACTGTTCCTTGGGATGGAATCCCAGAAGGTTCTGGGTCCCAGAAAAATAGCTTTTTTTTTTTTTCACCTCCTTCCCCCTACCCTCTGCCTCTGATCTTTCTAGGGAAATTCATAACCCAGCTCTGGTTGCCGCCCTGGGGTTAAACACCCCGGGATGTCCGGGAGCGCGGCACACCGGGGACCCTCCGACTCCGGGAAGGGATTCTGGGAGAAGAGGCGACTCTGCCCTGGGCCCGAAGCGCGCTGAGCCCAAGCTACGGCGCGCGGATCCCGGTGCGACCCCCGCCCCCCATGTCCGCGGGGCGCGGGCTGTGTCCCAGGCGCGCAGGAGTGGGACCTCGAAACGCGAGGCGACCGGCGCTCCCATCTGCTGGGGGCCGCTTCTTCCAGAGCGACGCGGGTGCCCCCGTGGGCCTAACGACGCAGAAGCGGTCGCCCGGGACTTTAGAGCTGGGAACGCAGGTCCCGGGAGGCCGGGGCTCGGCGAGCGCAGCTGCCAGAGTCGGCTGTCCGGGTCAGCAAAACTTTGTTTCTCAGTGCGCAGGCGCA